CAAACATAATCACTGCGCCCCTGGGCCAGCCCCTTCTTTGCTGTTTAGTTTAAAAAAATGTTGGTGATTAGAATGATGTGTGTTGTTGTTTTAGTAATTATCTTTCCACTAACATCTTTATATAATGTGCGTTTTCTTTATGTTTCTACTATCTGATTTGTTTGCTTTAAACGATATCTTTGATTCTCACCTCTAATCTAAGTGAAATCAATGAATTTATTCTACTTTCCCATTTCTTGTTCTCCTATTCCTCTCATTAAAAAAACTTGCGCTGTGTCTACTTTGTCAGAGCACATAACATCTACATACTATTCTTCCATCTTGTCCCCAGCTTTGGTGGGTCTAGGATCTAAAGTTAAACATTGTCAGTGCTCATCACCAGTCCTTTTAACAATTCCTCATCCATCTCTTAGTTGGATGAAGGTGGTCCTCTAGTAGATTTCTCAGGAAGGACTCGTTAGAACAATATTCCCTGAATTCTTTTTTTTTTTCCTACATTGGTACAACCACTTTGGAGAGCCAGTTGTCCCTCATACATTCCAAGAGGCATAGAGCATATGGCTCAGAATTTTTTTTTCTTTTCTTTTTTTTTAAGATTGGTACCTGAGCTAACAACTATTGACAATCTTTTTTTTTTTTTTCCTGCTTTTTCTCCCCAAATTCCCCTAGTACATAGTTGTATATTTTTTTTGGCTGTGGGTCCTTCTAGTTGTGGCATGTGGGATGCCACCTCAGTGTGGCCTGACGAGCGGCGCCATGTCTGCGCCCAGGATCTGAACCAGCGAAACCCTGGGCCGCCGAAGCAGAGAGAGCAAACTTCACCACTCTGCCACAGGGCCGGCCCCTCCCTGAATTCTTGCATGTCTAAAATTTTTTCTATAAACAAGCACGTGGAAAGATGCTTAACATCATTAGTCATTAGGGAAAGACAAATGAAACCATAATGAGATCCCATTTCACACTCACAAGAATGACTATTAAAAATTTAAAAAGGGAAATAGTGTGTTGAAGAACATGGAGCAAGTGGGGCCCTGTGCACTGCTAGTGGGGGTGTTAAGTGGTTCAACTGGTGTGAAAAACAGTTTGGCGGTTCCTCAAAAATTTAAACAGAATTGTCACATGACCTAACAATTCCATTTCTAGATACACACCCAAGAAAGTTGAAAACAGGAACTCAAACTAGTCCTTGTACTGCAACGTTCATAGCAGCACTATTCACAAGAGCCAAAGGCAGAAACAACCCAAATGTCCACTGATGGATGAATGGATAAATTGTGGTTATTCATAAAATGGAATACTATTCAGCCATAAAAAGGAATACTGAAACATGCTACAACGTGGATGGACCTCAAAAACACTATGCTAAGTGACAGAAGTCAGACACAAAAGGTCACATGTTGTATGATTCCATTTATATGAAGTATCTAGAATAGGTAAATCCATAGAAACAGAAAGCAGATTAGTGGTTGTCAGAGGCTAGGGAGGGAGCAACAGAGTATAAATGTGTAATGTGTACCGAGTTTTAGTTTGGAGTGATGGAAGTGTTTTGGAACTAGACAGAGGCGGCAGTTTCGCGACACTGTGAATGTACTAACCGCCACTGAGTTGTTCCCTTTAAGTTAGTTAATATTACGTTAGGTGAATTTCACCGTAGTAAAAATTGTTTTTCTAGAGCCTTGATACTTGAAGGATGGCTGAGTTGGGTGAAAAAAGTCCTTGGTTCACACTTGGTCTGGGATTTTGATAAGAGCATCTCACTACTGTCTTGCTATATAGGTTGCTCTTAGGAAATCTAATGCAATCAGATTTTATTTTCTTTATAAATGACTTGTTCTTTTTGCCTGGGGGACCAGAGGACTATTTTTTTCTTTAATGTCTTGTGTTTTATTAGGCTATGTTTCAGAGTCAACCATTTTGAAGCAATTTTCCTACATGGTGGGCCTTTTCAACATGTATTCAGGTCTTCTCTTATTTCAGGAAAGCTTTCTTGAATTATAGTCTTACATATTAGTTTTATTCATTGCTTTCTTTTTCTATTTAGCATTGCTTAATTATGCTTATTTTGCCTATTATAGCTATCATTTTCTGATTCTTTTTCCTTCTTTAATTTCATTTTCTTGGCTCCGTTCATTTCTATTGTCTTCCTTAGTCTACTTTGTTATATTTATTTTCTCTTAGATACCTTACAATTTAGTCATTTCAAAGTTAATTTTTTTCTTTCTTCAATTTCTTTCCTAATATCAGTTCCCATTTTATAAGTTCCAGTTTTTCAAATTCTATTTTGAATTTTTAAATTCCGGATCTGTGCACCTCAGGACTGTCCATCACAGGGGGAGTGTTCATCCACTGGCTCCTGGCTCTCATTGGTCAAGAGTTCTCCTGAGGCATTAACTTCCCCGTTTGTGACTAAAAGATGGGGAGGGAGGATAGGAGCCAGGGGCCAAGAAATGTTTCATACTATTTGCTGACAGCGTCCACTCTTTCCATTAAGAAGTCAGCTATCAGTCTTAGTGTTGTCTTTTGTCTCTGACTGTTTTAAAGGTCTTCTCTTTGTCTTTGGTTTTCAGGAGTTTTTCTGTGATATGCCTTAAGTGATTATCTTTGTGTTTACCCTGCTTGGGCAAACAGGATGAAGTCATTCTTCTATCTGTGCCTGATGTGTATTCTGGAAAGTTCTTGGGCATTATCCTTGGAATATTGATTCTACTTCTTCTTTACCTCTCTTGGGACTTCAGTTATGTGTATAACTTTCCACATAATCCCATGTCTTTTAACTATCCCCTTCCCTTTTTTAGTATTTTCCATTTTTCTTTCCATGCATCAGAATGGATATTTTCTCGTTTTTTTTTTTACAGTTTACTAAGTCTCTCTTCAATTGTCTGATTTGCTGTTAGATCTATCTAGTAAATTCTTAATTTCAACTACTGTAATTTTCATTTATAAAATTTCCACTTGGTTCTTTTTTTAACAATGTCCAATTCTATGTCAAATTTCTCAAGATTGTCTTTTAACTCTATGAACGTATTAAACATTGTTTGCTTGAAGTTCACAGATGGCGACTCCATTATCTGAACGACTTATGGGTAGTTCACTTGTCTGTTGTCTTAGTCTTCAGTCACATGGTCTCCGTCTCCTTATGTGCCCAGTTAATTTTATATGTGTACCAAACACTGTACATAAAAAATGTAGGAATAATTTGAGGGCAGAATAATTTGAGCCTGGGGGATTTGCTAGGACTCCTAGTCTTTGGTGGACCCTACATTACAATTTTTGTTCTTCAAAGTCCTGAGTCCGTTGAAAGCTCTGTTTAGCTTCTGACCCTCTTACCCAAGCTTTCCGATGGGCAGATGCCTCCAGGAGAAAATCAGCCTCATGCCTGGCTCATCCTCTGAGCTTTCCTCTGTTCCCAGAACTTGTTCCTGTCATTTCTTACAGCCTAAGTAGCTGGTGATACTTAGATGTTTTCAAACACTTGAGAGAGATATATATAAAATTTGGGTGTGTGTGTCAGCTTTTCTAGTTGTTCTTAACAGAAAGGGTGGTCCAAACCACCAAATTCACCATTACTAAGGTAGAATTCCGTCGTGCTGAAAAGTTTTGATTCTCATTTTGTTTTCTTATGGAATACGGATGCAGGATTCTTCTTTTTCCTCTCCAAATCCCCAGTACTTAGTTGTATATCCTAGTTGGAGGTCCTTCTAGTTATTCTATGTGGTATGCCACCTCAGGATGGCTTGAGGAGTGGTGCTAGGCCCAGGATCCGAACTGGCAAACCCTGGGCCACCAAAGAGGAGCGCGCGAACTTAACCATGATGCCACAGAACGGGTCCTGGGATTTTTTTTTAAAATTAGAACTTATCTGTATTGGATTTTCCTGGACCAGCCGGGGCAGATAATCATATGGGTGGAGGAGGGGTTTGGGTAGCTTACAAGGTTTCTTAATAAATGAGCTCTTTTTATTGATATTGATACCATTTAACGCTACTGTCTTGTTTCTCTGGGGCGCACAGTTTCAGCTGGTTCCTTCTTTGATTTCACTACCACGTCTCCCAGGGAAACCTCCCCTTCCAAAATGCCCCCTTCTCTTTCAGAAGAGCTGTCTTTCCAAGGCTGCTACCTCTGGTCCTAGGCCCTTTCCAAGCCCATCCTTTCACCTCCCGGTAGCCAGTACTCTCATCTACCAGGCCTCAGACTTGTTTTCAGTATTCCCCACGCAGAGTGGACATCTTCTTTGGGGGAACCTTAGTTGACATTTTCTGTGTTCTACCACCACCAGAACCCTGTCACATGCTCCTCTCTTATGTTTAACCCTCGCCTTGCTCTCCCTCTGGTGCAGGCATTTGAGCTGATGTTTATTTCTCCTACTGACACATAAAGTGAAGTGTGTAGAATTTTGTCTCCTAGTTATGTTGCAGGAGTGGGTTATTTCTTGTCCTATTGGAATCCAGAAAAATAATACATATTTTGAACTTTTAGAGAAGATTATTTTTTAGCTATTCTTTTACTACTGATTTCTAATTTCACTGCATTTTGCTTAGGGAAACAGTCTTTAAGATTTCGAGTCTTTGGAAATTGAGAGTTCCCTTGTGACTGAGTACATGGTAGATTTTTCTTTGAATGTTCCATGTGCATGCTATACTCATTTGAGTTTAGTGATCATATTAACCAAATCTTCTAGACTTTTAATTTTTTGATCTGTCACTCTCTGAGAGTTAAAATCTACCATAAATCGATGTACCCACAGTATTTTGCCCATAGTTCTGTCAGTCAGTTGTTGTTTCATGTATTTTGAGGCTATCCTGTTAGGTATATATATATGTGTTCAAGGTCATTGTATCTCTGACCTGTGTAAAATGTCCTTTACCTGTATAAAATGTCCTTCTTTGTCCCTTGTTTTCCATTTTGAATTCTACTTTGTCTGATATTAAAACTGTTACCCTGCCTTAATGTTTACATACTCAATACATCTATCTCTTGTTTTATAGTTTGTCTTTCGTCCCTTGATTAGAAAAATATTCCAACCTCTAGGTTTTATGTAGTCTCAATTTTTCTTCTAAAATTTCCTTTATTTTCCCTATTGTTAATGATGACATGTAGCTACAAAAAAAACATATTTACACCAAATAAAGCTTGACTTTAATGACACATTTCCTTAAAGTTTAAAAAAAATTCTTATGCTTCAGCTCCTTACCAGTGATTCCTGAGAGCTTTCTGAATTATAGCCTCTGTTACTTCACTGTAAAAAGGTACAAGAAGCAGAGATACAAAAATTAGCTTGCTGTTTCCCCTTAATTTCATAATGGCCAAGAGTGCCCCTGTCATGTCAAATGAAGAAGAGTGTTAACGCAAAAGAACATTTTGGGAAAGCTTTGGAGCTCTCACAGATGCTGGCATCTAAAGAAGTGGCTGTAGCACCAAGAAAAGAGGAAGGAAAAAAATGTGCTTTCATTAAAATTGAGTAGGGGGACAGACCGGCAGGAGGGGATGGTCCGTTGAAAATAGCTGTGAAGAGAACAGATGACAGAAATGTCAAGATGACAAATTTGGAAACTACTGGCGTTCAGTGAAGAGAGAGGCGGTGCTGTTACAGAGATGAGAACGGCGACTCTCAATAAAGAGTGAGAAGCGACAAAGGCAGGAGAAAGGCCCAAAGGTGTCCACCTCAGGAAAGAGGCCACGTTCTGAGAGAACTGGATTTTTCTTCTGAAAAACATGGTTTAATATGTTAGGCAATGCTATATGGAAAACGAAAGGGCAAGCAGAAAAGGCGTAACAATACCAGGAAGGTGGGCCCACTTTCCCAGGAGGTTAGAGTGTAAGGCGCAGTCCGCTGGCGGCGCCTTGAAATGGAAGGGAAAATTCTATCTTGCTGGATAAAAGCGATTAGGGATGAGGAGATGTTTTCTAATTCTTTATTTTCAGTTTTAAAACAGTTGTTTCTACAGCTTTGATATTTTTTAGCTTTCTGGTTGACCTGGAGGTTGTTTTTGCTCTGAACAAAAGGATGTAAAGCTGTGTTTGCTCCCATTCAAGGATCTAATTCGGCATGTTGCCCAGTCTATAATAAATCACGGGTTTAGTCTTTCTTTGTTAAGGTAGTCAGAGGCCCGCAGGCACGGGTGACTTACCGAAATGTGCTCTTGTAGCTGGGGTGAATTATCATCTTGATATTGTCAATCACTTGATAATTTTATGTCCCAAAAGCTCTCTCCTGGTTGTTTTCTGCTACACAAAGATGTCATTTTATTCTCATGTGTTTTCACAGACATGATTCACATTTTGCTATCTAGTGCATAAGGAAATCATTCTAAATTCAGCAATAGTGCCAGTTTGACTAAAAAAAGCTATTTTCCACATCCACAAAAATGTTAATCAGATTCTTGTTAGAACATGTGTAAGAAGTGGTTTTCACTGTCACAGCTCTTGATGTCAGATTACTACAATAATTTATGTTTTGTTGCGGGAACATGGGTGCACGCAGAGCCTCCCCAGTCACAGGCCCCTCCTCAGCCTGCGCTTCTTCACAACACGCAGAAATTGTTTGTGTTTTGTGGTACCAAATGACTGGCAGGAACAGCAGAATTTCAACGTGGCTGTTCTTTATTTGATTAAATATATTCTCTATTTATTCTTAAAAAAACTAATTTAAGTTAAACGGTAATAAACCATAATTTAGAAAATATGTTGAAACTGAGAGTGAAGAGAAATGTTCTGTATGTAAACCACACTGTAAACCATGAAACTTATTTTTGTCAACTGCCTCTCATGACAGTGGCTGGGAAGCGAACATTTCTACTACAGTAGGCAAAAAAACATGTAAAATACACTCTCCCACATACCGCATCACGTCTCTATTTATATTCCCAAACTAAAAGCATTACAGTTCAAAAAAGTGCTGAGAGCACTGTGTAGGTTTAACCAGGAGCTGTCAGTTCACACAAGCATACCTTAAGTTGGCGTACTTGTGCAGCAAGGCCACTGTTGGCACCCCCTGCCCCCAGGCCACATTTAACGGCCCAGACTCAGCTCACCAAGAGAGAACCACTGCTCTGTAATCCAAAAGGGGATGAACTTTTCACTGAACTCTGGTCAACACAAGACAAAACAAAAACTATTCCTGGACAGATTCTGAAACCCAAGTGAAGCTTCCACATGATAGCATTCAATACCAATTATCCACTTCAAAATGTGTCAGCAGCTATTCAATTACTTACAAAATGAGTTTTGTGAAAGTTTACGTAGTTTGCAAGTATTTTAAAACTAGAAAAGGAATCTTTAATAATCTATTCTGTTAAACATGAATGTGACAGGAACATGGCTAATTCTCTAATTTATCTGAGATATACACTCCACACAGCTGACTGGATCTCAGGAGTTTTCTAATAAAAACTTCCCCTTTCCACTTAGAGATCATAAGAAGTCAGCACAATCCGGCTTTTCTCCCTGCAGAAAGAGCATTTAGTTTGGGATGTAACATTATAAAACAATAACACAAGCCTCCTGGGAGAATACCACAATAAATGTCTCAAAACCACTCAGTCCGGCCCAGGGCAGAACCGGCGGCTTTAAATGACTGCAGGGAATGTTATGGCCTTAATGACACTGTAACTGCACGAAGCCAAAGACAGCTAGAAAGAGAGGCCAAAGAGACGAGCGCAGAGCCAGCTGAAGTGACAACAAACATGTGGCTGTTTACTAGGTTTGGAGAGGTTTAGTCTGCAGATGTTTGTGGTCTCTAGAAGGTTCCAGAGGAATGAGTTGTTAGGAAGATTTGCAGAGTTTGATGAGAGCAAGATCCTTCTTGGAGATGGCGGGCCCCAGACAGGGAGGCCCAATGGTAGAGACAGAATTTATAGATTTCTCTGGTCAGATCATACTCTAGTGGTCCCACAATGTACATCAACAAATTAATATTGTACGGACGTCATTTCAAAGCCCCCTAAAGATGAGAGTCATTATTGAAGCCATTAGAGCACAGATGGTTCAAACTATATGCAGATATTCATACTTGCATTTTTGCATTATAGCTTTTTTTTTTTCTGTTGAACTGTAATGAATTGTCTCATAATCTATTCCATCTTCTTGCCATTAGCAGGCTTTGAATGTTCACAAATAGGAGCAAAGAACTCATTTTCCAGAGCTTTAATCACACAAAGAGGGAATGCCTAATTCTCTAAATGAAATGGTCTGTGATCACTGAAGCAGAGATTTAATATATCACGGCAAATTAGGTAGATTTTAATAAATTACTTATCTCCCTGAATACTTTACATATGCTTAAGAAGGAACATAGCCTGTTTGCAAACAGTGAAAACCCACAGCCTATAAAAATCCTTTGAAGAAAATGACAAATAAAAAAGTAAATTAAAAAAGGAAATGCATTATATCCTAGGCCTCTAGAGACAATTCCTTTGCAGCACTGACTCACAGCTCCATTAAAAATATCAATTAAATCCTTCAGTGAGACTGAGTAAAAGCCAGAAAATTAACTTTCTGAGCTCTTTTTGAGGATCTGGTTATCCAGATACACCCCAGCATTGTACAAGCTTGATGTAAATTTAAAAAATGATAAAAAGATACTCCTTTCAGATCTAACTAAGCATATCAGAATTTGAGCCATACTTTGAATAATTCCTTTCTATGTCATAAGCTAAGTTTTCAAAGTGTAAATTTCATGCATATATATGTATCTACCTCCTCTTTATATACACACATCCCTGGATCCCATATCACCATTACAAATACATGAAAATAATACAAGTAGGAAGAAGTGTAATTTTTAAGGGAAAAAACCTAAGAACTGTTAATTTTTAAGGAAAACACCCAAAAAACTTGCAGTAATTTAATAAGTTGGTACCAAGTCTTATTCTTTATATTTAATTGATAGAAACTGCATGCATCAAAGGAATGCATACTGAGCTTTAATGTGCATAAAATGGATATTAGCATTTTAAAGAGGAAGATTAACACATTAATCCAAGTAATTTTCATATATTGCTTCTAATAAAATCTTCACAGTATAAAACTCTTAATGAGGCTAATCATAGGCATTCCATTTAGTGGGACGATTAGGGATAACATAAAAGTATTTCTTTTTCATAGGTTTTCTCAGATTTATGCTTTTTGCTTATTAAAAAATAAAAATGGGAATTGCATTTCAGTTCTTCATAAGGAAGTGTTGAAAATGCAAATCGACTTTCTCCTGCTATCATGTAGGCATAAATTATTGAGAGGGTGTTGCCCATTGTGGAGAACTTAAGTCCTGAGGGTGGCAGTCAAGGGAAGGAGGGAATAGGAAAATAAACAAATGAAAAAGTATACAAAACTTGAACACTTCACTCCCAGGCCTCCCCCCTCCCAACTTCCCATGAATTATAGATTATATACAACAGAGTAATTACAAAAACCTCGTCTAAGAGCTTTCATGTGTGCATTTACTCAGGAGTAGGAGATGCCTCTGGAGCAGTTTCCTTCAAGCCTCCAAGTCATCTCTGTATTGCTCGTAGACAGACCGCAGAGCACGGAGCGCTTCGACCGTTACCTTCAGCTTGCCAATACCTCCACCATCTGCTCGTGCATCAAAAACTAGGGAGAAAATAACAGAAAAGCGTTAATAGCATTCAACAGAGTCTTCTTCAGATAGGTTAGCTGAAACAGTAGTTGAGAAGAGGAAAACAGCTCTATCAAAGTTCAAGGTTCAGTGGCATCTCAGAAATCCAGAAATTCAAGCTTGTGGCGTGTGTATGAAGATACTTGTTTCAGATGTACTGCATGTATGTATACATATTGCTTACAGAGCTAAAATGAATGATCTAATACTGAAGTTTATCTACTAGAAAGGCTACAGGAGAATGAGTCCTATGCAGAATCAGAATTTCTAAGCTAGAAAGAAATAAAAAGTCTAAAAGAGATCAAGATACAATAATGAAGAATTTGTTCTAATATATAGTGTTAGCAAATTTGGTACCTGATCGTAATTTGGATTGTTATTTATCTTTCTAAGGAAGCATTCCATTTAAAACAGATTATATGTGAATTTAGAAAACGTTAAAACGGTAGATTTAGGAATGTTAAGTTCTGTCGATTGACTCTGAGGGTCCACGAACTGAGGCTGAAGGTAAGTAGATACAGAATTTTGAGTGTATGTGGGCTCTCCTTGGAAGGGGGCCACAGCTTTCAGTGGTGTACCCAAAGCAGACTGGCGGAAGCCTTGGGGCTTCTCTGAGCTCAGTGGTGGGGTCCAGACAGGATGCTGATTCAGAACCTGGGACTCCGTCCCTCTGTGGACAATGATGCTTGCTAGTGACTCAAGGCCAGAGTCCTGAACTTTGTAAGTTTGACAGCACTTAGGAGTCCACATAGTTTCCTGTTTATATTTCTTGTGGTTTTCCCCGAACTTTTAGTGTGTGTGTGAGTTTAATTCCAAGATAATCTCTAAGAAAATGTTCAAACAAAACTTGGTACACACAGACAGGTGGAGAAAAAGAGCAGGCAGGGAGGTTGCAGGGGCTTAAGTGGTCTCCACCTCATTCCCCTGAATTTTCATCTATTCTCTGGGACTTCTCACTTCTATGTCTGGCACAGAACAAAGCATTAAGATCCTGACCTGACCAGCGTTTAATTTTTGACTCTTTCCCAAAACACAGGCCACAATAGCTGTCTCTGTCAGACCAGTATGGTCATAAGTGGTCTTGCAGAGTGACAAGATGGGTTGCTAAACAGAACTGACTGGAGAAAAGATTAAGAATATAAAGCATAGGTAATTATGGCTATTTGCATCAGATTCTCTCGGTTCTGGGTATCTTTAATAGAGTTTAGGGTAATATTTAATCTCATCTTTTTCTTTTGTGCTTGCCAAACAAAGTTGTGGAGTTGGATAGATGTAGTTTATAAAGATTTCCCAGATCAGGTTTCTAATTTGGTCATTTGGTCTAATTTGGTTAATTATTTGGCTTGATCTGACTTTTGAGCACTTGACACACATCCAGGTCAAGCAGCCCTGACATATGAACCACGTGGTTCATGAAGCCCTATGGGGTAAGCAGAGCGACTGCACTTAAGAGGTGCTCAGTTAAGAATGAATGAATACATGAGTAAATAAACCAGGTACATTTCCCCAGAGATGGCTCTGCTAATGCAACAAATGAGACTAGGACTTAGCCTCATTTCTTCATTTATTGTGTACAGTTTACCCTTGGTAGCTGTGGCGGACTGGTTTCAGGAACCCCCACGGATACCCAAATCCACGATGCTCAAGTCCCTTATATAAGATGGTGTAGTACTTGCATATAACCTACGCACGTCCTCCTTTAAATCATCTCTAGATTACTTACAGTACCTAGCACAAAGTAAATGCTATGCAATAGTTGTTACGCTGTATTGTTTAAGGAATAATGACAAGAAAAAAAGTCTGTACATCTTCAGTACAGACGCAACCATCGCAGGCCTTTCAATCTGCAGCTGGCCGTCTGAGGATGCGAGACCCGTGGATACGGAGGGCCGACTGTACGGCCCAGGCCACCCCGATTATGATTTTAAAAGTGCGAGTCATGAAGTATAATTCCTTCAGCACACTCTGAACACGTTACACAAGAATAGAAGGTAGACTGAGCATTGTTGAGACTTGCACCTGGTGAGGTGAAAATCGAGGAGAGAGCATTTTGTCAGGAATCCCTTACTCCTTCCTCAATCCTGGTGGGAAACAAGTGACCAAAATTATTCAGAGTTATTTGCAGTGACTATATCACTGGCTTGTACACTGAATGACACTGAAGCCTTGCCCAAGACACTACAACGATCACTCAGAACAAGACGCCTTAGCTGGAAGAAGGCTGTGAGCATGAGGTTTCCATAAACAACATTAAAAAATCCAAGGGCTGAATTTTTGTCACATACACACCCACTACTAACAAAACGCGTAATTCCTTCTGAAATGTAGTTAATTGTTTTTAAATTTCTGTTGATTCGAAGGCAGGCAGAGGGGGAGGGCAGAAGAGGGGTGCAGGGAGAGGCTTCCAGTTTCAACAAAAAGTCAGCTTGAGTTGCAAAAGATTCAACTAATGTGCGACTCAACATCCTTGCAGCCAGCAAACAGGTTCTAATAAAGCAGCTGGATTTCAGCCGATGTTGCTTGTACAAACTGAGCAATACGTCCCCCCATACCGTCGATGTTTTGCTCGATGATGTCTCTCCCCTCCTGAAACATGTCAGCGAGGTCGACGTGAGCAATGCCGATGTCCTCACACTCCAGATCCTGCTCGTCCTCTGGAGGGTCGCTGACCACAGTGAAGCGAATGCTGAGAAGGGAAAGACCAGAGAAAATCACCACAGAGTGAGAAAAATCACGCCGAAACAAAACGCCCAAATAGGTTTTTATCACTAAGTATGAAATCTCAAAGTTTCCAATTATTCCAATAAAACATTCCATTAGGTTAGATAAGCTGTGATACGAACTACTAGAATTATTATTACAGCACACTCAGCCTTCAAACGGACATTAATCTCTAGAATCTGAGCGAGTTAATTACCAGGCGAAGAGAAGAACCAGCTGTTCACTCTATTACACACTTTCTGGTCATATGTTGACAGATCTACTTTTAAGGCTAAAGGGATCAAGTGAAAAAAGACCATGGAGGTTAGGGCAGCATTTTCAATAGAAATGCAACATTTTCTACAGAAAAGCACGACTTCGGAGTTGCAACTAAGCAACTGAACCAACTGTCTGTGTTCCATAAAATGCAGGGATTAACGCGAGATCAACGTTGCAGCTCTGCCCGACAGCTATAGGAAAGGTCTGTGTTACTTTAGCAGTCTTTGAACTTACAGTCATAGCATCCAAGCTTTATTTTACTTTTAGACACATAATGGTAGGGTTCTGATGGAACTGATTTGAATTAGTGGCTTGTGTTGAGGCCAAACACACTTGGACTGACCAAATGACAGGAATTTACAGTTAAGCACTCTTTTGATACGTCTTGGCAGCAGAGTTGAAACCATGGATGCTTGGAAACTACCATTTTGACCATTTTCAAAATGTATCCATCCGAAATCAGAAACAAAGCAAGAAACTTGTTTCTTAGATAAAAATCTAAGTCTCTGAGAAATCATGCCTTGAAAAATATGCACAAATAAATTCTTTTCCAAGTGCTGATAGGTAACCACGACACTATTTTTAACTAATTTGCTGAAAGTAAGTATTCAACATTTCATTTAAGTCCTTGTTTTTAGCTAGCAATAGATTTTGATTAGAAATAGAAATCCCTTAAGTTGAAACCAAAGGTAATACCTATTCACAAAATAATTGTAAAGAGTGCAGATCCTGGTCTGCAAGTAGATAAGATGGATATTTTATATGATATATAAAACAGAAGGATTAAGATGGAGTTGTTAAGGGATCCATTCTGGGTTCAAATTTCTGGTTCCCTACTTATTAGCTGTGCGACTGTGGACAAATTACTTAACCTCTCTGATCTCAGTCTCCTTATCCGTAGAATGAGGATAATTATACCTATCTTATAGGGCTCTTGAGAGCATCAAATGAGATGATACATGTAAACAGTGCCTGGAACATACTAAGTAAGCACTGAGTAAATGCTCTTTTTATAATTACTATTTTCATCTACATAGAGCTGCTTAAGCGTCTGCATTTTTAAGGGGAGAGAAAAACAAGGCATGGAAAAGGCTTGTTTCAATTGAAAACTGAGATTTCCAAATTATGCAATGACTATACCACTCACTTAAACAAGAAGAACGATGATGGAAGAAATTGTCTTAAAATGAATACGCTTGGAAGAATTAAAAGTGATATTTGATACACTTTTTTACATCCACGAGACTTACAGAAAAGGCAGAGGCTGCACGGACTGTAACAATAAGGTTAAGTGTTACCCTTCTATGATGTCTCACATCTAAGGATCACATCTGTATCACTTTACAAATGAGACTACTACTCCACTGAATATATGAGAATTCTGAGACAAAAAGGAAAAAAACTTCTAACTGCCAGAGAAAGGGCTGGAAAAAATGCAATATTTCTGGCTTTAAATTCTATAGAGAACAAAATAAGATGTCAAATACAAAATTAAAAAACTATAAAGTTAAGCTAAAAAGGGAGGAAGGTACACTAAAATAATTTAAAAACTACAGTTTGGCTCGGGGTAAAGTGTCCATACACAGACACACACAGACACGTCTTATATCTTACCTTTAACCCCCCGAAACAAAAAGGTGAAACGTCCTTTCTTGTCCGGAAGAGCCCACAGTCTAGTCTGAGGATGTACATGTGGGGTAGACGCTAAGAACCCGAGTGGAGGCAGAAACAGCAAGAGCCGCACAGCCGCTCCTGCTCCTTGTCTGCCTCTCCATGTCTCAGCGAGCCCTGGCCTCGCTAACGCACTGCCCAGCCCGGAAACACCCTCTCCGTGTTCCTGCACGCGGGATCCCCTCCACCTGGGATGACCTGCCTTGGGCTGCTCACGACTTGACTGGGTCCTCTCATCCTTCACTAACCAGCTTAAATGTCACCTCCTCAGGTTCACCTTCACCGTTATTTTCTATTTTAGCAACGTGTTTAAGTTTCTCTTAGTACTTCTTGTAATATGCAATTGGTTGATTTGTTTACTTGTTGTCTGTCTTCCTCAGATGTAAACTCCACGAGGGCAGAGACTTCACCTTCTTTACCATTTTAGCTTCTGATACTCATGTAGGGGATCAGAAATATATATTTCTTCCTAATTTTTTTTTTTTGAGGCAGATTAGCCCTGAGCTAACATCTGCCACCAATTCTCCTCTTTTTGCTGAGGAAGACTGGCCCTGAGCTCACATCCATACTCATCTTCCTCTACTTTATACGTGGGACATCACCGCAGCACAGCTTGATGAGCAGCGTGTAGGTCGGTGCCCGGGGTCTGAACCAGTGAACCTGGGCCACTGAAGTGGAGCGTGGGAACTTAACTGCTGTGCCACCCGGCTGGCCCTGGATCAGAAGTATCTGTCGAGTTACTCTGTGAACTGCAAAAAGGAAGTCCTTATTGAAGGCTGGCTCCTCTGTGGAAGGCAGGCCTTGGGCTGGGCCTCAAGATCCAGACCTCAAATGTCACTTGCTGTTATTTAGGAAATCAGAAGGCGCTAAAACTCCTTAAGTCATTCAACATGACTTCTGAGTCTCTTCTCATTCTGAAATAATTCATTTTTATACGAAACAGGACAGAAGAGCCTATGGGTTACATGTGAGTTTTGCATATTAAATGCTGACGGTTACGTTGGATGTGCTCAATATTACAGCATTAAAGAGAAGAAATGAAACCAAAAAGGAACCTTAAGTCAGTGTCAAAACCATGGCTTCAAATAAATACATTTTAAAGTCCTATTTCAGTGTGTTGCCACCCTTTTAAGTTGACACTTGTATGTTTGCAAATGTAGCCTGGGGCAGGATGCAAAGGTATTATATAACTCATTATACAATGTATGTGATCTTATGCACTTCAGGGAAGATGGGCCAAACTGCTCTAACCGTGGCTTTGTAAGTTATCACCAATAATCAAGAGGGTTGCTGTCTGAGAAAACAAATTCTTAGAAACTGGTAGGTACTTGAAGTAATATGACCTCCGAGTACTTCAGAGAGGTGAGAACCTTTTCTGGATGACAACTGTCTTTTGGTTGTGGAAAAATGTAAATGTAAACTCCCCTTTTTCCCCTTAAGAAAATGATACTGTCAGGAGAGGAAAGCGGGACCCGGCTTTTGCCACCACGGCCCTGTCCCTCCCTGGCACTCAGAGGAGCCGGCCACACTCAGCCTTCACGCAGCTGTCAGCAGCCCTGACTCAGTCTGTCTACACCGGCAACACCTCTCTTGGTTTCTCTCAAGAATGACATAAACGTTTGTGTCTCTGTAGGGCATTTAGAGGTTTTTCAGAGAAACAATGATGGGAGAGTAGGAGTCATTACAATTACTGTGGACTTTTTTTTATTTTTAGAACTGTTTTGGTACAGATAAGTAGGTCTTCTAAGGAAAGGCAGGTCTAAGATTAAAGAAGAATCGGCTTTTTAAAAAATACACACTTTTAAGGAAACAAAATTGCTCTCCCCGATGAGGAGTGCTACTTATAATATGTTCCAACATTCCAGAAACAAAGTGGACACAGAGGTAGGCGAATATGACTGAACGGACTGGTGGGTCCAGCCCAGGGTTGTCCATGGGAACAGAGCTCAGTCCGGGCCAGCGATGACCCAGCTTGTTGACCACAGAGAAGCAGAGGACATGGCCAGTGCTGTTTAATCACTGGTGACTTGGGATAACCCTGGGGGACTGGTGGTATTTGAGGGGCCTTGAAAGAAGCCGAAGTATACAAAATAAGTAAGTAAAACCTAGGTGATTATCTGCCATCCTGGGAAAAACAGGACCTCAGGCTAATTAACAGGGTTGCACCAACCCTCCTTCAGAACTGAGATCCAGAGAAACGATATACATACAAGGAGTTAATGCAAAAGCTACCTTCAGATCCTAAAGCTAAGGATTCCAGTCTCCTTTCTTGAAACAGAAGATCAAATGCTAGTTTGGAAGCTCTGCTGAAAAATGTAACATCTTTAACACTTACTTCATGACCTCTAGGAAAGGAAAGAACACGAGTCTCTTTCTAAGGTGCTGGGACAAGCTCCGTTTTTAAGGCAGCGAGAGGCTGTTTCCTCTGGGCCATAAAGGCAAGGAGAAGAGCACAACTGAGAGATGCAGGGTCCACATGGGCCAAGGGGGAGAGCCAGCAAGGAGTGTGGTTGGAACCCAGCTCGGGGTAACGGGCAGCACTCAGATAATCCCTCAGACCAAACCGAGGGAGCTCACATGAAAGCACAGACTTACTAGATCAGGTTTTTTCCTTCTCAAACGGGTATAATTTCTCTACTGAACCAGAACTACAGGGTGTCCTGTTCAAATCTGGAAAAAAAATGCACTCAGAAAATAACATGAAATGATGAATTATTCAACAATAGCAAGGTAAAAATTAGTCTGGAAGGCTGACAAGCTTTCACAACTACTAATATTAACATTACTACTACTTACAGTAATGGTCACAATTAACACTGTGCACTTACTACGTGCATTCTATCCATCTTATGTAAACTATCCCATTTCATCTTCACAACAAGCCTATACGGTAGTAGTATCTCCATTGTACAGATGGAGACAATGAGGCACAGGGTTGCTGTCCGAGGTCAGACAGCTAGTGTGTGATAGAACAAGGCTTCATCCGTAGGCCATCTGACTCCAGTGTGCGCCCTCCTTGCACCCACCTGTTAAGCTCCGTGCGGTTACACCTGAACGGCAACAGAATACTTTAGATACACTGTGCAGTCTTTTGATTTGCAAAGCACTTAATAGGCTCTTTACAGTGACCTGCATGAGAGGCAGGGCTCCTATATTCCTAGGAGGAAAGAGACCCGGAGAGGTCACACACTCATTCCAGGACACAGAGTGACTCAGGGAAGTCAGGTGTTCTGAGTCCTCATCTTTGCTGTTTTTCACCACACCACGCTACAGAGATCTTTATAGAAACCATCAGATAATTTAGATGCTTAAATGTACCTTCTATTAGGCATCTCTTGTTTTAGTAGTACAGCTTTTAGGATGTCTCTCTTTGCTTGGTTGTTTTCTTTATCCACACAGATCACTATACCAAAAAAAAAAAAAAAAAGAAATCACAAAAGGAAGTCACTCAGGAATATGCTACATTAGTGCCACTCTGTATTTGTATAAATACCTGTTTTTAGAGACTCAACTCATGCTACCTCACTTGTACATCTGGGAAAAGAAAGCGGCTCTGGAAATCAGAATCAAATCTGAAGAGTCATGTGATCTGATGTCATGTCACTGGCAGGTTTATGTGCACACTGTCAGAAAAGATACAAGCAACATCTAAGAGGGCCACACTGCTGTCACTGCCTGTTAATGGCACTGGCAGTCATGACAGTAAAAGCCAGCAGTCTTTATTGCTTTGTATTTGAGGGATTTACTGCGTTTTCCTTCACCCAAGAAGCGAGTGATAATGATAATGTATGGCAGAGAGCTTGTCCTTCCTGACAGCCTGGGTAATTTAATCCTTCTCTCCTGCCACAACATGCAATCAAAGAGGCATCTGGTGTATTGGGCTGAGGAAACCCACAGGCTGACGTCTGCGGTGTTCGGGTTGGGGGAACAGGAGAGAAACACAGAGGAAGGGAGAGAGAGGCTTTTCAGGGTGTGGAGTTTGTCTTTGGTTTTTCAAGGTACATGCTGGCATGCAGGAATGTGGCCAGACTTGACTTATCTGAAATGGAGATTGGATAACTGATCTAAAGTCTCACCAGAAAGAACATACTTGAAACCAGAAAGAGACCTGAAACTGTAAATAAGTGTCTGCACTTCGGGAAAATGGCAACTGAGTGTGAACATTCCCACTCTCATCCTGATGACTTTTTCTCAGCTCAGCAGCCTTTTGGTCACACCTTAGCTCCTGAAGACATTTATTCTTCACATGCCCTTTGGGAGGTAAAGGCTCCCCTGTGACCAGATCTCAACTTAGAGATAATCCCTGATCAAAACTACAGGAAGGGTGAAAGGTGCCAGGACAATTCTACAGCCAGGCCCCACTGGGAGCAGACATTTCACACTGAGAATGTTTCCCTGGACAGTGTAGTTCAATCTCAAATTACGATGTGACTGACTCATTTAATCGCTTGACTCAGTTGAGCAAATATTAACTGAGGGCAAAGATGTGCTGGGCACCAAGTTAGGCACACTGGGTGGGAGACACAAAGGGGTCTGTGTAGGGTAAGGTTTAAGAGCAGTAAAAACCAAGGGCAAACAGCCACTCTCAGCTTACTGCTCTTTGCATGATGCCAGATTAGTAAATATGACTATTTATACAGGTTACTGAGATTTACAGGAATCAAAAAACGCAATGGGTTCAGAGTATTTTGTAAATGTAGTGTTTTACTTATCAATGTTAAAAAGTCAAGCTTACAGATGCTAATAGATGAGTTCCACTAATGCTGAGAGATGTACCTCATTTTGGGCACCAGTACATCAAGCTAAATGGAAAATTTTTTTTTCAAATGGGAATGTTTTGTTTTTGCTGTTAATCACCAATTCAAGACATGGTAGGCCATATCCTCTTTAACTTCAGAGTTCTACAGCTTTTTAAGCCATAATGGTCTACATTTTTTTTTGTGATAATTCTTTCGGTAATTTTTTCCCAATTTTATTGAAATATAAATGAAACATAATACTGTATTAGTTTTAGGTATACAACATAATGATTTGATATATGAATATATTGTGAAATGATCACTACAATAAGTTTAGTTCCATCACCTCACATAGTTACAATTTCTTTTTTCTTGTGATAAGAACTCAACAATTACTTTCTTAGAAACTTTCAAATATGCAATACAGTATTGTTAAGTATAATGGTCTACATTGTTTGAAGACAAAGGTAATCTTAATGATTAAAAAGAAAAGACTGGGGGCCGGCCCGTGGCTGAGTGGTTAAGTTCTCACACTCTGCTCTGGCGGCCCCGGGTTTCGCCGGTTCGAGTCCTGGGCACGGACATGGCACCGTTCCTCAAGCCATGCTGAGGCAGCATCCCACATGCCACAACTAGAAGGACCCACAAGTGAAAATACACAACTATGTACCAGGGGGCTTTGGGGAGAAAAAGGAAAAAATAAAAAAAAATCTTAAAAAAAAAAAAGACTGAATTCAGAGTCTAGCATCCAAATAGTCTTTCAATTAAACCAGACCAGTTCTGATGAATCCTAATAGCTTGAAAAACTTTTAATGTAGTAAAATATACATAACTTAAAATTTACCATTTTAACCATACAGTTCGGAGACATTAATTACATTCACACTGTTGTGCAACCATTACCACTACCCGTCTCCAGAACTTCTTCACCAGCCCAAACTGAAACTCTACCCATTAAACAGTAACTTTCCACTCACCCCAGTCCCTGGTAACCACTACTCTATTTTCTGTCTCTACGAATTTAACGATTCTAAGTGCCTCATATAAATGTCCTTTTGCATCTGGTTTATTTCACTTAGCATAATGTTTCAAGGTTCATCCATGGCAGGTATCAGAATTTCATTCCTTTTTAAGACTGAATAATTTTCCATTGAATATGCGTTTTGTAAACAAAACAAGTTTTGTTTATCCATTTGTCTGTTGGTGGACATTTGGGTTGTTTCCACATTTTGGCTATTATGAATAATGCTGCTGTGAACATGGGTTCAGAGTCCTTGCTTTCAATTCTTTTGGGTATATATCCAGAAGTGGGATTGCTATATCATATAGTAATTCTATGTTTAACTTTTTTGCAACATCTTTACCATTGAAATTGGTAAAAAATGGTATAGTTGGGACACCTTCTGCTTCTGCTTCATCCAGTTGGCCAGCACACTGTATCTCCTATTCTTTTAACAAAGGTAAAAATTGTGAGAGCCACCATTTATTGAGTGATGTTTATGAACTAGGAACTACACTCAATATTTCTCTTACTGCAATCATATGTGTTAAGAACCATGCTAACTCACATTTTACAGATGATTAAACAGACCCAGAGAAGGTAAGTAGTTTGCCCAAGGTCATCTAGCTGGAAGGTGGCAGAGCCAGAATTTGAATCGAGTGATGTCTGCCTCCACAGCTTCCATATGAAGCCAAAACTTTTCCTGCTGTTTAATCAGCAAATATGTTGTTAGCACAGACTGCAGCGTGAGAAAGCGTTCCCTAACTGTAGCAGGTGAAGCCACTTCATTGTCCTGTCACTCCTTCATAAAGGGGTACTGCTTAGATACACCCAGTCCAGGTGCCTTAAACCACTCTCTTGGCTAAACACTTTTTAAAATTCCTTTTTGAAAAAACTCAAGCTACTTACCAATAAGCTTAGTTCTCCAAAGGTGTACCGCGTTACAACTACAACTCTCCTGCTTGCACAGACAAGGCCTACAGCGGGCACTTTAATTTAGCCCAAGGGTTCTCAGTCTTAAGGTGCATCAGAGTGCCCTGAAGCGCTTGTTCCAATGAGATTACCGAGCTCACCCCCAGTTTCTGCTTCACTAGGTCCAGGGAAGGGCCTGAGAATTTGCATTTCTAACCCTTCCCAGCTGCTGCTCAAGACACCGCACAGTGAGAACCACTGTGTAGTCCAACACTCCTTTGCTCAATTTGTGAACAGAAGCAGGAACTGTGAACGCTTTTGTATTGAACATGTGAGAAACAGGGACATTTTGACCACCTCTGGTTAGGCCATGATCCTAAGGACATCTATTTGATGTTCTGAAACTAGATGCTTAAAAAAAAGTCTACATTTCAAAACTTCAAATACATCTTTTAAAAAAGCAATTCTGGTGATTATAAAAAGTAGCAGAACTCTCCAAAAGTTAAGCTATTTACCTTTCATTCTCATCAGAAATCACATTTGCTTAGGACTTGATAGATTTTGACATAAACTTACTGAAAGCATGTCTCTCAAAAAAGATATGAACCAGTAGTCCAAATACTTGAGTTGATCTCAAATAGTCTACCATTAAAAACATATTCCTCACTTCTGCAGGTTGGAGAAATCCTTATATTCTTTATCACTGTCATCCGGCAGAAGTAAGAAATGCAGATGGTTTAATTACAAAGGGTTGATAACCTTGAATCTCAGATAACGTTTGTGTTAAAGTGTTTATCATCCCCCTAATCCTTATCTTTGCCAGGTTTCTCCTCCCATTAGTAACAAAATCTAAAGTTCTGCATCCTTTTCATCTTCTGAATTAAACTTTAATTGTTCCAAAAGATAGACTGTTCAGTGCTCAGAGACTAAGGGCCCAGATCTGCATAAGTCTCATAAAAACTCTGGATGATTTCATTAATCTTTCTTCTTCCCATTGTCAATTCCCTACAAGGCTTTATTCAGCCCAGACAAGATTCTTCAGGCCTCCCATTAATCTTATCTTTTTCCAAACTAATTTCTTGCTTTCTCAGCATTCTCTAAGCAAAATTTTAAAGCCTGATAAAATACAAATGTTTTGTTCTTACTACCAATGTCTAGCAAGTGAGTTCAACTTTATTTTTTTTTCAGTGTTAGTAGCCTTAAGAAGATATATTTTTCTGTAGGTGAAACTGGTATTAACACCTCTTAATAAATACTGAATTAGGCTACGAATAATCCTGGGGATCACTAGTAAAAACTTCTCATTTATGTACCTAATTTAGGCTTCAGCATACAAATCCCTTTTGAATAGATTTAGGTCATAATGCAGGGCAAAATCATTGGGAGGCTCAGTTAACTTCTCGACTGGTATGGTGCTCAAACAGCAGCTAGCATGTACTAAGTGTCCTTTAAATTTTCTGTCTAAATTAAAAAGTTAGTTTGAAAATAAAATTACTTTAATTAATATTTAATAAGATTTGGAAGATGTAAGGCAATATTATATTGACTTTTCACATCAAGTAACAAGTAAATGGCAAATCATTACAATAATTGGATGAGATAGTTACTTATTAACCAAAGATTCAAGAGTCGTCTCCTGCAATGAAGGACACACAAATAAAATAATTCAAAAACATTTCATTCTGCCATACATAAGTGAAAAATAAAAGTAAAACCTTCTACAAGGTTAACATTAATTATTTCTCAAATTTGCTAATGACCCAGGACTTAGTTTTTTATGACACAGTATAGAGATTTAAAACAGCATCATTTTGCTTCCAAGCACAAAGTACATTCCTCTCCTCACCCACTAGATAAATATCCTTAAAATTCTTAATTCTACATGGTCAAATCTCAAAAGGCAGCAATAGAAGCTGAAGAAAGGTACAGTAAACACTTCCACTGAATTCACTTTTAATAAATTATTGGTTTTCTTGTTGCTATCAAATGACGAATTCATTAGAAACATAAGCAACTCTTAAAATACCAATTAGACAGCAGGGTATCTTGCAGTAAAAGGAAAAAATTACAAAAAACCCCAAACCAATGCCACCCAACCAACTGACCAAAAGCCCCAAACAGACCTAGGTCACCGTGTGAGAAGGTACAAAATTCAGGACACTTGAGCATGTGTCACAGGTCTCATGCAAAGAGCGACCTGCATCGCTCCTTGAGCAAACGGAAACATCTGTTCTGCTGCAGGGCCGAGTTTCCCAATGTACAATATATTGCTAAAAGACAATTCTGTTGTCAGTCCAACGAAACATTCTACTCCTGACCTTTGCAAAGAATAATACAAAAGCCAGAAGGTTTGTCTTTTTTCTTGGGGTGTCTTCATTACAATTAGTTGACTAAACAGTTCTTTCATTACTAATAATATTTTGATATGGTTTACTTTTCTAGAACTTTGCAGTTAAAAGATCTCTAGGAAGCCTGAGAAAATATTTTTGGAAATGATTCTGTTATATCAAGTCAATGAAAGGAAGCAGGAATCAGATCCTTGTCCTGACCACATTACTTACTTCCCATGTGATTTTTCGACCTACCTGGTATTACAGAATTTGAACTGCAAGGGATCTTAGAGAGCACCTTATTTAATAGATAAGAAAACAGGGAACTATGACATTTAAACATCTTGCTCTAGTTCACAAAACTAGTAAGAATTGTGGGTACAGGGAAGACTAGATCAGATTTCTGGATACTCCTACTAGTACAATAGCATGATTATACATGCTGATTAAAATGCAACTTAAAATACACCACTACACTGGCCCCGTGGTGTAGTGGTTAAGTCCAGTGCGCTCCACTTCTGTGGCTGAAGGTTGCAGGTTCGGATCCCTGGCGTGGATCTACACCATTTTTCAATGCTGTGCTGTGGCAGTGTCCCACATACCAAATAGGGGAAGACTGGCACAGATGTTAGCTCAGGGCTAATCTTCTTCAAGCCAAAAAAAAAAAAAAAAAAAATGAGGAAGACTGGCAACAGACATTAGCTCAGAGTGACTCTTCCTCACCAAAAAATAAAGAAAGAAATAAAACTGCAATTTATAAAACTGGTGAGAAAAAAATATTAGTGTTCAACTAGTATAAGATGGCCTGTTTTGCTAAAGATAAATGCCACACTCCATCTTTAGGGTTTGTTTTAATAGAGGGCTTTAGGAGAACTGAATAAGTAGTTTTAACTTAAGGACATGGCAGCTTGATATGATTCTTTAACTCCTCTCTAGTTTCACCCTGATACATACTATTCTTAAGAACGTTTTAAAGTTGATTGATCTAAGAATGCACAGGGTGCCTATTGGGTCTGTACTGGTCCAGTAGACGTACATGTCAACTAGCTGAAAGAGAAAGCCCTAAAAGAGAAAAACTGCCTGCTCCTATGAATGGATGTGTGGGCTAAAAAATGAAAAGGCGTTGTAAGAACTTAGGTCACTCAACTAATATCCAGAACATCTAGACACTGGGCGATATATATATATATATATCTCATGAAAACATCTATGTAATGACATTGATCAGAAAGGTAGAAAAAATTAGGCCAGTGAATTGTTTGAATCATATGATTAAAAAACCGAGTACTATTTTTCCACCTTGAAATATCACATTTTTTGATTAAATTCAATTGGAGACCTAGGTGGCACTATTCTCTTGATACTATGATATAGCAGGAACGTCCAGAAACATTTTTTTTTCCTGAGGAAGATTAGCCCTGAGCTAACACCCGCTGCCAATCCTCCTCTTTTTGCTGAGGAAGACTGGCCCTGAGCTAACATCCATGCTCATCTTTCTCTACGTTATATGTAGGATGCCTGCCACAGCATGGCTTGACAGTGGTGCATAGGTCTGTGCCCGGGATCTGAACCGGTGAACTCAGGGCAGCCAGAGTAGAGTGCATGAACTTAACTGCTATGCCATTAGACCAGCCCCCAGAAACATTGTTTTTGTTTTCTCTTAACTTTAGTATTACTTCAGATTTAATTTCTTAATCCTTATGCTACAGCTTTGACTTTTAATAATCTATTCTGACAAGGCTTCCATGATTTTGCGTGAACATTAGAGAATTATCTTTTTCCTTTTGTTCTTTCAGCTTCTTTCACAGATAAGACAGACAAAAATAAAGGTCTATATTATAAATGAACCATACGCACCATTGCTATAGTTATAGTAGACCCACTGCCCTCTCTTCGGTTTTGGAAGCGACACAGGTGTCTCTTCAGCAGGAAGACTGTAGAATCGGCACTCAACGAACAGCCTTTGGATAGTGTCATCCTCGGTTACTCGAGAATCATTAAGGCTTAGAGCTATGATCTCAATCTGAATTTTTTCTGATGGCTGTTTAGAAAGCAAAAAAAAAAAAACACAAAGAAACAAATACAACAAATGAACAAAAAATCCTTTACTCTTTTTCACTATCAATTTTAAAATGAAGGCCAAAGGGATTCTTTTTTTGGAATGCATTGTATACTACTGTATAGTTACACATGATAGATTATTCACGACAGAGAGAGAGAGAATGAGATTCTAATGCCCCAGGGTCTCAAGTTAACAGTGTCATGGCAATAGTCTCCTGATTTACATCTGAGCTATAAATACCCCACTAGTAGTCTATCAAGAGTGGAGATTATGAGATCTTCATCTCCGATTGCGTTCAGAATGACAAGTATCAGTTAGCCTGTTTCAAACTATGTAATGAAGTACATGTTTATCACTGATTTTATTTAATCTACAGTACTCGAGAAAGTTTTGGTTCTTCAGAGATCAAAGCCTGTTGAATACTTTATAGCCATTATGCTAATATATGAGCTATCTAAATCCACATTAACCAGAGCAGCAACTACAGTTCATTCTCCTATGTATTCTGCCATAACGTTTCCTTAAATAAGTAATAAGTTTCCAAACAAAAGAAATAAACTTTCTATCTAATTTAACATATATTTTCTTGCAGTTTATTTTTTATATCATTTTTACAGAATTAACTACTAAAAAATATATTTGTATAATTTTCACTTCAATTCTTATTTAACACATTCTGGTGTCACAGATATTATTATGTGAGTCACATATGCTTCTTTGAGTAATGATTTAAAACAAATAATAGACTATGACTTAAAAATTAGACCACACGTGGGGCTGGCCTGGTGGTGTAGTGGTTAAGTTTGTACTTCTGCTTCGGCAGCCCAGAGTTTGCAGGTTTGCATCCCAGGTATGGATCTACACACGGCTCATAAAGCCACACTGTGGCAGCATCCCACATACAAAACAGAGGAAGGCTGGCACAGATGTTAGCTCAGTGACAGTCTTTCTCATGCAAAAAGAGGAAGACTGGCAATAGACATTAGCTTAGGGCCAATCTTTCTCACCAAAAAAAAAAAAAACAACTAGATCACACCAAGATGAACTCCTCAGTTAAATGTTTGTTTATACAATTTCAAATTTGTTCTTTATTACCCTTCACTAAATCAGTTTTTACTAAATTCAGAGGCATGTTACTGTAAATTATTAACTTCAAATAATAATTAGAAAATCCTGAAACTAAGACCTGTTTATATGACCAACTTTTAGGAACTCATTTTCAAACATAAATCAGTGTGCAAATTCACTATAGTGATTACTTAGATATTTCAAAGCATATAATATAATTAATCAAATTGAAAAGCATAAGTATCCTACTGTAAAAATATCCCCATGAAGAACAATTTCCATTGCTGTCAAACCCCCTCAATATTTGATGAAGTAATTTTACCCCCTTCTTTCAAAAGACATTTTCTTTTATTATGTATTCTAAGACACTTTAACTAAAAACCCAAATCTGAATATTTCAATAAGGTTATTTTATTATTCAGTAGATTCATGGAAATTTTACTAGGATGACAGAGAAAATTCCACACCATTCTGTCTCCACTAATACAGGTACAAGGCTGCAGCTGGCAATATTACTAGGATTAGCATAGTATGATGAAATATTTAAAGGAAAATTTTTTCTAAAACCTAATAAATCAAATGACTGCCAAATGTCATTAAAGTGATGGTCTTTGACTTGAATATGCTTTTCATATTCAAATTTGAAAAGAAAGAGATGAAAGCCTGGAAAGGTTACTCGGTTTCAACTAATAACCTCAAGCCCTCTCCGCTCACGTGCATAAGAAATGAAGTGGCTCTATTGTCTAATCTCACTTTAGAACAGCCCTTCCTTGCTTGCTCAAGACTAACATGGGAAAGAAAATATTTTAAATGATATTATTTTTTCCTTAAAATGTATTGTGGTTGTCAAAATACTACACACACAAACATTTTTTATAATTCTGGTTCAAATGCAGCACAATGCGTAATTAAGTCTTTTGTATAACTTGTAATTTGACAAATTAGAATTGTTACAACAATAACATCTTATAAAACATTCTTGCTTCTGCACAAAAGAATTAAAGGAAAACAGCCAAAAATGGGCAAAAGAGGTATACATGGTGATTTCTACATTGTGAAGAGACGAATGAACTTTTAAATAGCAGGAGAGTAAAATTTATTTATTTGATGATTTTATTAATAATATATTAACTGTACGATCCCCATATGAAAACTTGTTTTATTGTAAGAATGAATTTAGGCTGTTAAATAATACAATATACAAAAATATAATTCTAAATGAAAGTAGATACTTGGATCACAGCCAAACATCATAAACAAAAGCAAACGAAGCAAAAGAAAACTCACCATATTATCCAAAGAAATAAAAGAGCTTTAGAATTCTTTTTATGAAATCTATCTTATTTCTGGTCCAGTATTTTTTTTTGATTATTCCCCTCCCAGCCTCATTACCTTTATCATATGTCTTTTTAATTCTCTGAGTAATATTATCGACAGAAATCACTGGTTATCATTTCTTTGTTCCTTTGATGCTACATGAGTCAACTTAAAATAAATCCAAAAAGGGCTAAGTTCCAAATAGCATATATCTAGGAAAGTATGCTATGAATAAAGAATTTTCCAAACATTATAAATTTTGGCTAATGGGGCTACCCAACTTATTTTTCAACATTAACAATTCTGGTTGCGTTCACGCCCCTGTGAATCAAAAGTTCAACTATATTATGTATGAAGATTTTGAAGATTAGGAAGCACATCAACGGTATAACAGACAACTCCAACTTCACGCCGGAAATGAACTCCTTCTCTCCCTTCCCACCTCCCCTCTCCCCAATCTCACTCATCCTCTGATACTTCTAATCTCAGATGACAACATCACCATCCATCTGGTTACCCGCAACCAGGAGACCTTGGAGCCATTCTTGCCATCTTCATTTTTCACCATATCCTACAGATCACCCATTCCTGTTCATTTTACTTCCTAAATATCTCAATGATTCATTGAATTACTGAAAGCTTATATTTTGACGCTGTGTCAACTATTGGGGATACAAAGACAAAACAAGATGTGGTTTCTTTTCTCATTTTCATCTCTAGAGAAACTTCTTTAGGTTCCCAGCTGATCTGAGACAGGAACTAATACAACAGCTTCCTAGTATTAGAAAGGGGAAATTTGATAGGATAAGGAGAGAGAAAACAGATGGAATCAGAGAACATAACTGGTTGGCAGAACTGTAAGCAGACAGATGGATGATATGAGACTATAAGCTCAGTGATATAGGAACTATTATCTTGCTATTGTATCACTGGTGTGGCATGTAGTACACACTCAAAAAATGAGTGGATCTACTCTCACGGCTGTAAGAGAGGTGAGGCATGCCTGCTGCTAACCCCTTGCCTGCAGCCTCAGCTACTTCTCTGGCAGAACTTTCTCCCTAAAAACAAATCAGCTATCAATCTTTCTGCTTGAAAAACTTTCTATTACCCTATAGTCTAGCTGTTTCCCCAGACCTGCAGTGTGCTGTTTATATTGCTCAGTTTTTTATCTGAAATCTTCTCCATCAGACAAAATTCCACTTGTTTGAGGCGCTGGACCACACATGCTCTTTTTATGAAAGCATTACTGATCTCCAAGAGTGAGTTGGTTCCTCCTCTGGGCCCTTGCTGTACTTTTCGGTCACATTGTACTGAATGGACTTGGTTAGATGTCTGCCTCTCTGTAGTCTGTGAGCTCCTGGAGGCCAGGGCCATCATCTTACTCACCTTGTGCTATGTAACATCCTCCCCAGGATCTGACACACACAGGCTCTCAATAAATACTATCATATAGAGTCAAGGGAGGCTGAATTTCTTTCATATATTACCAGAAATATGTGAAGCTGCAGTTATTAGTGTTTTCTCCTTTAACAAATATTTATTGTGTCTAGTATGTTTTGGGAAGTTGGGGATTATTAACTGTTGAAAAATATATAGAAATCTTGCCATTCTAGATTTTAACTGAATAAGACTACCTCAAAGACAGGTCAATACTGTAGCATCTAGGTGGTAGGGTACTATTATTTCAACTTTTCTGTATGTTTAAAATTTTTCGTAGTGAAAAATGAAAAAAGTTCAATTAGAAGAATTGGAAGGGGAAACAATATACTGATTCAAATGGCGGTAACTGAAGCAAAGCCTTTTCAGATAGATACATAGTAATATCTGTCCAGAGTTACTAGAGAAACATGACAGGTCACACCTCTGCAGGGCGTCAGCATCCTCCAGATACAGTACGCTGGCCAACAGGATAGGCTCTAGGCTCTTGCCGTTTTGTTTCTTTCCTATGTGTGTGAACCTTTGTTACTAGGTATGATGCCACCTCTCAGTAAATTTTTTGGTTTGTTCACCAATGGCTCTATTAGCTTCTCTAATTAACAAGATGTTGACATCAGCATGTAAAAAGATCATTTAAAAATTCTGATTGTGGTGAACAGATGTAATAGAAGTTACTCAAATAAGAACTGCATGCAACTTATTTTAGTTGTCTGTATAGATGGACACTACACTTTATGTGACTGACTGATCTAGAAATGTGATGACAGCTTGTATTACTCTCAGAGAAAAAAAAGCTATAGTTCTCATGATTTTGGCTCAATTCCACTACTCCTTCCTGACTGATGTTAATTCACATTTTAGGCCATATTTTTCCATAGTAATTACTTGGGCTCATTACTGGCATGCTTCAATTTTCTATGTTTTACTTCAGAGGATCATGCTGAGTTCTTCCTCCGGTTTCAACCATCAGAGCAGCCCCGCTGGAGCTGGACTGTGAGGCTTCTGAAAACGAATTCGACTTGACAGCCCTTAAACACGGTACTGCTTAACGGAGAATGGCCTCTAATAAAGGTTTTGCAACTTGTTTCAGTCAGTTAGATTTAAGTCTAACTATGGCGAGATTACATGTGAATTCTATTTCAGTCTAAATTTCTACA